GATGAAACATAACAATTTTTAATGGATAATGTTTACTGGTTAAAGTTAAGAGTGACTATTATAATTGAGTATATAGTCTGCATCTTAATTTTGGGTAAATATGCAGCAGTAAAGGGACGTTTGGTAGATTATAAAGTGTTTTCTAGCTGTCAAGTGCAAGAAGGTAAATGTAGTCTAAAACAAAAACTCTGGAGCCAAGGCCTGTACACTATTTATTTATTTATTTATATATTTATTTTTCTTCTTCAGCACCAGGATTAGCCTGTCCTGGCCTAACGGATACCTCTAACTTTTCTCTCTCTTGGGGCTGCATCTTGTGTCAAGTGGCATTTTTAAAGCCTTGAAACGCTGTGATCTTTCCATCTGACAGAGGCTTTTTGAAAGCCCAGAAAAGAAGACAATCACAGAGAAAAAGCTGCTTTGGCTTTAGACTTGCTCGATGCACCCCCATGTTTCTAACTAAAGGTCACTTTGTTTTAGTTTTTATTGTTGAAATTAGTGCAGGGCTGCAAACAATAACCTCAAAGGTTATGTAGTGCCCTTTCCTCAGTTTGTGGAAGTCTTTTCAGTTAGTTTTAATTTTTCAGTTTAGGTTTGTTGTAGGTAAACCTTTGGTACTGGTCAAACAGGTTGGGGTGGAATCTAACAGCCAGTTTGAGCAGCTAATCAGGTAGAGAAATCCCAACCCCGCCTCACATGAAGTAGTTCAGTACATACATGTTAAACAGGCAGCTTACCCCAGTGATACCATTGTATATGCAAATATCATGTTCTTTTCTCTACACCTTTGTCCCAACTTTTTAAGAAATGTTTATTTCTTTAATTCTGACTCAACATGACTCTGCGCTGACCGAGCTTCAATTATAAACCTTCAGTATTCAGCCTTCTCCACAGTTAAAGCACAGTGCCTGATTACTCCTTTGCACTTAGGGATTAGGATTAGTGCTACAAACAATTCACAATTACTGTACGCCTGGCAAGGATGAGCTTGACCTGCGAGCCCTTAGCTTGATTTTTAGGCCAGCAGTGATAAACACTCAGTCAGGAGGGTCTGCTTGCAGCTGTGATCAGGTGCACGTTGAAGTTGTGACTGCCACTTAATCTTGTAGCACTTTTTTAATGGCACAAAATTGGAATTTAGAAACGTACTGTTTAGCTTTTGCTCTCCTTGTATTCAAATATTTCTTTAACCTTAAACCTTACCTTAATTCTTCTTTTTAAAGGGTCAATTTTACACAAATCACTAAAATAAAATATCAAAATTAAATAAAATCAACCTGCTGGTGTCGAGTTGTGATGCAATTTTGGATTTGTTGCTGCTCTGTTGGATTGATGTTAATCTGCTTTTCTTCCTGGTGCATAAAGCACTTAGCTTTTAGAAAATTAGCACCTTTCCAAATTTGTCATTGTTCATTGTTATCTGGAATTCATATGATGCAGACCATGTAAAGACTTTTTTTTAATTTTTTTTTTAAGGCAAATTATTTACTGGTGAATACAAAAAATAAACAACAGCTTTGAGTCACAGATGGTATTTGAATGAAAGATGGTATATTAAAGCTCAGAGCAGAACCTGTTGGATTGGGGTGATAGCAGGAGTGTCACAAGTCATTTGATGCTACTAGATGTGATAAAAGGTTAAATGGTTTTATTTAATGTGATTTGGGTAAACTGACCCTTAAATTTTCATTTAACATTTTTACTGCAAGCTTTATTAGAAATTCTCACCAAACCTGCATGGCATCTTCTCACCTTTAGCTGCACTGTGAAGTGGTGATTGTAGTTTTGTCTTTCACAGATGAAGATCATATATCTTCTGTAACTGCTTGTGTTTGTCAGTGTTTATTAATTTGATGTGGGATAAGCCTTAGTGTATTTTTAAAGCTCAGGTATTAGAGTGTATGTTGTAATTTGCAAAGTTTTTGCCAAAAATCTATGAAATATGAAAAACAGATTGAGCCAACTTGAGCTTATATACTTTCTGCACGATACCTAGAATCCATAAACTCAGACTTTCTTTCAACAGTAAGCGTGTGAGTGATGTCTAATCCGTCCTCTCTTCTTTGTTGCCCTCAGGTGGACAAACTGGAGGAGGCCGAAAGCCAAAGAAAAACTGAAGAGGAAGTGACAGAACCTCAGCCGATGGTGTTCGGTAGGTTTACAGGCAGAACAGCTCACTGAGGGATGAACATTGTTGTTCCTGGATAAAGTAAATGATTTCCCCAAATGAAGCTTGGGCTATACTTTACAATGATATAATCTAGCTGATTAGTTTACCCATAATAAGTGGACACGCTTGCATTTTCTGTTATTATCTGAAACCAGCAGCAGCTGTTGCTGTGTAATTAGCTTTACACCGCCAAAAGAATTACAGGCTCATTGAGCAGCACATAAAGAAAACCTAAGTGGAAAAAAAAAAAGCCCCATAATTTTGTTTGATATAGAACAAACAAATTTAGCAGTTCAACAAAACAGTCCAGTCATGTGTACTTTCTTATAAAGACGGGGGAAAATTTTATTTTGTCTGTGTTTGTTTTTGTTTATGTGATCAGGTCAGCAGCTGATGTTGACTACCTCTCCTTCTCCAGTGGCTACCCAGCCAGCGTATCCTGGCTACGGTTACCCTCCCGCTGCTGCCGCAGGCTACCCCGCTCAGCCCGCTTACGGCTTCAGCATGTAGATCCGCCAACTCGTCCTTCTCCTCCACCCCTCTTCCCTACACACATCCACCCACCCTGAACCACACTGCTGCTCTGGGTTTCAACTGGCTGACTGGTGGCGTACAGCCTCCTGAAATTTCGCTGGGCCTTCATTTCCCAGTGAGGCTCCACGTGAATTCACAGAAACTGCAATAGAAACTTTGTCTCTAGTTTTTCCACACCCACTTTAGAAGGGTGGCATCAAGTCTGTCGGACCCCCCCCGTTGTATTTTCCACTCAGACATTATAACTGCATCACTGATCTACACGGCATGAAGTCACCTCTCAGCTCCTTAGAGGTATTAGCATACTGAAGATAACATTAGTTGCGCCAAACCACTCTGTCATGTTGCTGTTCCATGTAGACTTTATTAACCATAGAGCAGCTTTTTTTTCTGTTTTTTTTTTCTTTCCTTTTAATTTTAGCACTGAAGAAGAGACTTTACTGCAGAGTTTAGGGGTACCTTACTCCTAAAGCACTGTCACAGCCTTACACATTCTGATGAGGCGGCAAAACGGGCTCATTTGTTCATGTTTAATTTTGCAACTGTCTCATGTTCTGATTAGAAAGACAGTTACTGTGCAATAGTTTTATTTGTCCTTTCACAACAGGTACAAATTGTTTGCTGTATTATGGACTAAGAACACTTGTTTTATGAGGTTACAGTCTCTGTGTGCGTATGTGTGTGTGGGAGTATGCGTGTAGCCTCTAAAGCCTTTGGGGGTTTCGTCACCAAAATCAAGACACACTCAATGATATCTCCACTCCTTTGCAGCTGCAAACCTTTTGCTGGGTCAGAGCGGTTGATCTCATCAGTCGACTTTTTGGAGTTTCGGTAACGGTTGTGGCAAAAAGGCTGAAAGAAAGCAGGTGAAAACGGAAAGGCGAATTGTAGACTGTGCATGTGCTGCCAAACTATAATGCTGCAACCAGGAGCACAATTTTCATGTTACACTCAAGTATATGAAGTATTACTAATGTTGAGTAAAAAAAACCAGTTATGTATGATGAAACTTTCTGATCCAACTAATGAAAAAAACAAACAAGTGTGGTGAAGCTCCAACACACTCGAGATGAAAACAGGGGAATGTTAGCTCACGTCCTGGTGCCGGCTGGTTCAAGTGTCATTATTGTACTGAAAACAGTGTATAATTTAAATATATTGAAATACCTAACTAATCAAAGTATTATGGAATATGTATTGTCTATAGTGTGTTGTTGTAGTCTTAAAAAGCATAATGATTTTTGTAAGAAAATGACAAAATGCAAAAACAGCAGATGAATAAATGCCAAAATCTTGAGGTAAGGCTGCTCAAGGTAACAAAAGATGAGTTATTGACTTTATTTCATGTCAACGTCCCCATGTGATAAGCAGAGCTCTGGCCCGTCGTGGTCCCGGCACTGGATTTGTCAAAGATAAAATGCAAATAATCTGAGCTGCACACCAGTTGCTTATTTTATCTGCACAATTCTTGCATACAGAAAGAGGAATAAAGTTTACACACTGTGTGTGTTCGTGCATTGTTATTTTACATCAGGAGACACTGGGTGTGAAACATTTCAGTTGAATCAAACAAAAATTAAGAGTTAGACTACGAAAAAAGTGGACGGATAGAATTAAAATGCATGAGTGGAAATGTGTTTACTTCTCATCAACAGCACGCTCGCAGAGGCACTGGTGCGCGTGCTTGTTCACTGTAAATACCTTCAAAGTGTTTATTCTGAACTGCTTAAGTCACATCCAAAAAGGAGAAACTAACACAAAACATAAGCTTTAAAAAATACAAAAATGGACGAACCTACTCTGAAAGGTAACTTACGCTAAACCGATTTAAAAATGGAGGAAAACAGGAAAACCTAACTGCTCTGGAGGGCTCTTCCCCTCCCTGTTTTGTTGTTTTGCAAAAGAGGGTATGGAGTTTCACCTTTAAACATGGTTTACATCCATTTTTTGCTACACTGTAATTTCCATCCTCCGCTGGACTCTGACATTTTGGTAACCGAGCTGTCATTTGTCTGACTGATGGTTTCTGTCTGTGCCTCCGAGCCTCTTTGTTTGGAGAGGGTGTGGTTGGACTATCTGGACCTGTAACTAGCCGGCGAAGTCAAAAATGCTCACCATTTTCACAGCAGACAATAACAAAGGACTCATTTAGCCTATTTCTGTTTTCCTCGCTCAGCTGTAATCATCTGTTTGGAGGAAAACAGTGAGGCGAGGCTGTGCCCCGCCCTTTTTCGCTGTTGTGTGTGGGGGAAAAGTGGCCGGTCTCTCACTTTGCGCTCTTACAGCTACAGCTACACACCCGGTGTAACGTTCACTGACCGCTCGGCGGATGTTGAAGTTCATTCGCTTTAATTGGACATTATAAAGTTCAGCAGGATACACGGACACAAGTCTTTATCCGCCCCTTTCTGTGCTTCCGGCTTGCTTTGCTCTCTTACGTACTATCGTCGTGACACGGGGTTTCCATGGTTACAGATAACATTTATTGGATATAGAAGATCCCAACTTCCTTGACAGTTCCAGTATCCGCCCACTGTCAACACAGAAATCCGCCGGAGTCTCCACCTGAATCCAGGAAAGCTCTTCAGACTGAAGGCGCCCAGGTGTTGCGCTACTATACTCTATTTGGAAAAGAAAAAAAAAAAAACTAAAAGAAAAAACTGCGAGCCACACTAGACTGGAAGCTTTGTTTTTAGAATTTTACTGCGTTTAATCCGGTAACTATGCAGGGTAAAGGCACTTTTATCAGCCCCTTTCACAGACCGCGGTGTCTGGCGGCAGCGGCACCGGCTGGGAAAGCGAAATTAACTCATCCGGGAAAAGCGATTCTGGCAGGTAAGCGCATCACAATCCACACGGAAAAGTCTCACATGGACACAATGCCACTCTAGTGTTAGTCACAGTTCAAGAAAGCATCCACGCCTCTTTCTTTCTACTTGGCTGTGCTATGAAGCAAAACTTTGTCGAGTCAGAAGCCAGGGAGGTTTAAAAAAGTCAGCGAGCAAAGACGCGCTACAGTTTGCAGAAATGTCACTATGTTGGGATTAGAAGAAGTTATTATGAGCCAAAGGAGTACCACACTGGTTTGTATTTCCGATAAAAGCTTTCCTTTTAAATGACACGTCACACGTTTTCTTGCATGGACGTGAGTAAGTGGAGTTGCACTAATGTGTCCCAGCTTCAGTTTAGGCAGTAGAAACGATCTTTAAACAAAGTTATAGCCTGTATGTCTTAAGCCACTCTAATCTGGTGCTGCTTGAATCTTCTACAAAAGGAGGATTTTATTCTTCGGTGTTTCTGTGCTATCAAATCCATCTGTGCTGTCATGGTTAGGTCAGTTTGACCCACTGCACTGACTTGATTTTTATCCTACTTATCTAAAGATCACCTTCACTGCACTTAACATAATGCGCAGTGGGCAGTCGTCCACGCACACTTGAGCCATTTAGAGTCTCGGGTTTGTGCAGTGGGCCATCAGAGCACAAGAGATGGCTTCAGGCTGTATGTTCTTCATTAAAGTACACCACTAGTCTTCTTGAAACTGTACATATTTACATTTTGCTCTTTTTGGGGGGCGTTTTAAGCAGATCTCATCACCTGAGGTTTTGCACTCAGAAATTTACACATATTTTTTACTTTTGTATGTATTCTGTCATTTTTTTTTTAACTCAATACTTGCAACTGACAATTATTTGAATGGTTTATCAATCAATGTTGAGTTTTTTGGGAGTTATGGTTTAACATCTAATTTAAAAAAGGCCATTAATGGTTGATTATCTCCAAACAACTGATATCTAGATCAACTGGTGAACTTACTATTCAACAAGACTTGAGTTGTACCGAGTTGTCTCCTTTTGCCCCCTCCCCTCCAAAACCCCTCGACCTCCCTGTGTGATGATGATCAGGCTGCAGCAGCTCCGGCTGATGAAAAGCCTCTCTGAGGTGCTGCTGTATTAAGGCTACATGCTGATATTTGGCAGCACTCACACTGATTTTTCAACCCTGAGCTGCTGCAGTTGTCGCATACTGAATGTTTTATAGTTCTGAAGGAATTCTTTTTGATTGTAGATTTAAAAACACCAGCTGCTTTTTTTTTTTTAAATACTTTAAATAAATATAAATGTGATAAGTTACAACCTCAGTTCCAAAAATGTTGGGATATTGTGTAAATTGTAAATAAGAACAGAATGCAATGTTAATGTAGAACATAGAAAACACGTTAAAGCTTTAATATGAGATATCTTAGAATGTTGTGAAAAATATTAGCTCGTTTTGAACTTTATGTAAGCAACACACCTCCAAAAAGTTGTGACTGGCTACACAAAAGGCTGGTAAATTAAGTGACAATACAAAGAAATAGCTGGAGAAACATTTTGCAGTAATTAACAACAGGCCAGTAAAAGACTGGATTAAAAAAAAAGAGTATCTTAGAAATTGTGTAACAATTTCAGAGTAATATAAAACTGTGAAGAATTTGATTATCTCGTCATCTACAGTGCTTATTAGAAGATCCTGGGAATCTGGGGAAATCTGTGTGAGAGGGACGAGGCCGAAAATCTGAGGGTGCCTGTGATCTTCATGAGCTCAGGAACACTTCCAGAAATCATTATCTGTGAACACAAATGGCGCCTAAAGGTCTTTCGTGCAGAAGAAGAAGCTATATGTGATCATGGTCCATAAACGCTATGTCTTCTCTGGGGACAAGTGGAAAACTGTTCTCTGATTAGAGGAATCAATACCATTGAGAGGTATTAGCAATGGTATTGACACATCCACATACCCTTTCGTGGGGTCATACATACAAATTTCATCAAGACGATGCTAAATCTTGTACTGGATCTATTACAGTAGCATGGCTTCATATTAGAAGAGCCTGGGTGCTGAACTGCGGGCAGTCCTGCAGTCCAGACCTTTTATCAGTTTAGAACTTTTGGAGCATTTGGCACTGTCTCAACTTTTTTGGGGATGTGTTGCTGCCATCAAATTCAAAATGATCTTAGTTTCTTCTTAAAATGGTAAGTTTAAACCTTTTTTCATGTTCTACCGTGAATAAACTATGGGTTTAATATGGTAATGAGATTTGCAAACCATTGCATTTTGTGTATTTTTTGTATATCAGAATCAGAATCAGAATACTTTATTGATCCCTGGGGGAAATTATTTTTTGTTACAGTGCTCCATTTTAAACCAACATTAAGACAAGACAGACAATACGCTAACTAAGAATAGTACAATATATACATATATATACATACATACATACATACATACATACATACATACATACATACATACATAAGTCACTTATAAATAAATAAATAGATATTACACAGCTTCCCAACTATTTTGGAACTGGGAACTGGGAACCTCTGATTCACATTTAAGGCTATTTAGGTATTTTTTTCCTGTGCACATTAAAGCTAATTTATATCAGTTTGAATCGTGTCACTAGTCTGACTAATGAAGCTGTCAATTCAAAAACAGCCAAATAGTGTAAGATTTTGTGTTAGGGTGGGAGGTGGAGTAAGAGGAGGAGGAAAAAAATCTCATGTCCTGTCAGCTGCATAGAAATGGAAAAGAGGTCGTGGTGAGATCTTTGCCTTCCCCTGTGCAGCCTGATTGACTGGATATGGCCCAGTGTTGTACCCTGCTCCCTTAGCTGTTTAGCTCAAGTCAGGCCTGTCTGTCTAGTTTTGCAACAGCCGCACAGTTGCATTCTGTCTCAACTTTGTGCATCCTGTGTAGAAACCAGCGACTTATCATTCTCTGTCTACAGTTTAGAAATGAAGGTGCATCAGAGCGTCACAGGATGACTCAGCAGTAGATATAAAATGTGTGATTCTGACGTGAGATACCAAAAGGAAAGATAATAGTTTAAACAGTCCTAACTAGGTTTTCTTTTTGGTTTTCTGCCATGCTAATGCTACTTTGTATCCTTCTTGGTTAACAGTATGTCTGTGTACACAGAGAAAGTCACTCACATAAATGGCCAAAGGCTCAAAAGAAGACAAAGCAAGAAGCAGAAGGTCAAAGCTTAATGGCTTAGTGAGCCCACATAGTCTGGTTGAGAGAAGCGGGGTATTTATTTATTTTTTTTCTTTTCTTTTCTTTGAGCTCTTTTCTGCTCCCATTGGTTTGTTCAGCTCCTCTCTCCACAGCCACTGGTGATGACTGAAGTTGAGACACGACAGGAGGGAGAATTTTATCTGTGTGAAGCCTCAGGGAGAGCGCGATCTAAATGCCTCTCTGGTCCTGGTTTACAGGCTGTTGTGATTTCATGTGCTGTTGTAGCTTTTATTAATAACCTTTTTGTACTGGTGAAGCGGACTCAGAGCCGCAGTAAGAATGAGGAAGTTTTTTTTTTCTTGCTTTCCTAGATAGATTGGGTATTTCTCTGATAGTTTTAATATCACATTTCCTCCTTTCCCCCTTTCTTCTCCTCTCCTCCATCACTCTCGCTCCAGCCTCGGGGCAGCCAGTTAAGGTTTCTGAGTGGCTGTCTGCTCTCAGGCTCAGAGGGCTCATCAAACTGTGGCTTACTCCCCGTTTCCTCGCGTCACAGGCGACACACAGTGTCCCCTCCCATCCATTGTGGTTGCTGCTTGCAGACCCTGAGTACCAGGAGGCGAGACAATAATTCACAGTGCACTCGTCTGTTCAGCCCCCAGCCACCCCACTGTAACAGCTTGCACTCCCGCTCACGCGAATAAACATCACAGAAAAAAGATTGCAATAATTTAAAATACAGAGCGCCAGTTTAATGTCAGCTTAATATTACACGTTTTGTTTTTGCCATTGTGTTTCTGATTTTTTTTTGCAGATCTGATTTAGTACCACATTGTTTAAAAAAAAAAAGAAAAAAAAAAGAGATCACTCAGCATCAACATGAAGCTGCTATAAATTTGTGTCAAAGTTAAATATGATATATTAATTATAGCAGGGTAATTAATTTACAACTAATGTGTTGGGTTCAAAATACCCTGATGAAAAATGGCTAGCTCAAAACAATAATTTAAAGGCCTTCATATCCTATTTCCTCAGACAGGTCCTGAGGGAAATATCCGGCTCTTAGTGGCAAAATTTTCCAGTATGTGGAGATACCTATAACTTTTGTCTGCTCTTGGTCCTTTGCTGTGTACAGGGCTTTTAAAAATAGCTGCCTGCATCTGGAAGGCACACTAAAGAGAGCAATAAAATAAAACAATGAGCGTAAAGATGCCAGAACACACACGATCTAAATGTGTTGTAAACATAGACTCTGTATGAAAGAGTGACAAAGCTGTTCTGACACTGCTTTCCATTTTAAAGCCATTAGTTCAGTATCAAAGCTACATTGGGGCCAGGGATCACAGATGAAGGCTGGGAATCACTGAGAAATCAGAGAGTACAGAACATTTATACAGCAGGAAATTAGCAGTCTATGTAAAGACAGCCAAGATCGTCCCCTTCAATCCCCCTTTCTTTCTCCATTTGGGGCCATGCATTGTGTTGTATCAAACAAGTGAGAGCATAAACTCATCAGGAAGCTGTTTCCTGAGGTCAAAGATTGGTTGAGAAGTTGTTTCATCGTAGACAACCTAATGCCTTTTTGACACTGTTGTAAACGTTACTTTAACCGATGCTGAAAGTTGGTTGTCATTCAACATAAATACATAACTAATACAAATTCAGCCTTGTCTCCAGATGTACAGCTTGTCACAACAACTTGTGCGTAGTTGCTCTGCTCATGTAAAGAAGAGTACAGCCTTCATGCTGCAGGGTTCTAGGCAGTTGAATCGACTCCTATGTAAAATTAATCAACATCCCCCTCATATAATTAAGCATCAGTGGAGAATTACAGAGTGTTATCCAGGACAGAGGAAGCCTAAAAGGCCAGACGTCAGATGAATTATTCTTTTCATCTTTTGCGCAAGTCAAACAGAAATATCGCAGCACTACTAATATGACACCTCCTGTTTGAAGTGCATCAGTCCTCTGGCTACGTTCTTCATGTTGACTGGAGATTTGACCGTAAGAACATCTTTCCCTCAGACTCTTTCCTGTGTTTTCTCCCCACCAGAGAATTGGAAGTAACCGATAACCATCCTGATGAAGAACATCCGAATTAATAATACATTTTGATGCAAAACACACAGACCGACACAGATTATTTTGGGTGTGTTCTATTGTCTTTAACTTTTACTGCATCAGTGATTTAGTGCAGCAGGCTGAAGAGCTAACCCTATACTGCTAGTGAAAAAAATATAAATACCGATAGAAACGGTACTTCCCATATATGTAAAACATGCCACATTGCCAGGTCTTCCTAACTAAAAAGGAAGTTTTTTTGTTTTTTTTTTCCTTCTTCTTTTTTTTTTTTTTTTTTTTTAGTGCACCAGATGTGCTGGGTGCTCATTAGTCACCATAGCAGACAGGACAGGATTTCAGAAGCTGCTCTTCCCTGTCAGCTGGCTGCCTGGCTGTCTTCTCACCTGGCTTCCTCTGTGTCTCTCTGTACTACAAACAATGGACGTCAATTTGTGTATGTGTGGATTTTTCATTCGTTAATCTCAGTTGGTCAATGTGTACATAAAGAATGAGTTCAAAAGTAGGTGGAGTTGAAATGGTGGGTCATTTAAGCGATAAGTCAATAAGCACCTAAAGGGTTTCTCCTGGCTTAAATGGACCTTTGGAGGTGACTGAGCACTATTGTACCACATATAATAAAGATAGCAGGCCTGTGCTACATTAATTAACAGAAATCTTATTATTTCTGCAAGTGAAATGATGTTCGCTTGTCAAAATGTCTGAAAAAATTTGTACTACAATCTTGGTGATTTCCCTCTGGGGGGAAAAAGCACAAAACCTCTTTGGGTGTGCCAACATTTCTTATATAAAAGAAACCTTCCTTAACTATTCCATCTTTTCATTTCTATGGATGCAACCCTTTTCTTTATCGTCTATAATTGTGAACAGACTGTGTTTTGGTAAGGATTTTTATACATAGTCATGTGAAAAAAGAAAACTGCCTTTCAATTCTAAGATTGTAAATATCAGGAAATAAAAAAAAAAAATTGGTACATCTCAGGTTTTAAATTCATTTAAATGCAACCTTGGATGAGCAAAACACACAACATAACACACTGTATCCTTATTTTTTTCAACACCAGGAAAACTAAAATGCAAGAAAGCAAAAGGTAACTGTATAGCTAACAGTGTCTGGGCGGATTGCTGTAATAATTATAAATGTGCAAATGTTTCAGCACCAGGTGGCTGTCTGGTCTGGTTTGTGGTCTAGTTCTAATTTGGTGTGAATTAATTAATTTGGAATGAATTTGAAACCAGATGGCTGATTGAGCCTAGTCACAGCACCGGTGTAGCTGAATGGAAGGAGATTCCTGCAACCAGGATCCAAAGTTTCAGGGAAATCCTGAAAGTGTTACAAAAGTGTATTCTTGCCTCATATGCATATAATTCTGAGATTTATGTCTCACACATTTTTGGCTATGCAGGCATTCAACTGTGCAGGGCCCATCTGTGAAATCGGAGAGGTGTTGATTAAGTTATAAATTTATCTTCTCTGCCCAGAGAGTGACAGTGTTACCTTGAAATGGCACATCTGTGTCTGATTTAATAAACTGCTGTTTTTAACAGTCTGTAGAAGCATATTTGTATCAGGGACTCCATTTTTTTTTTTTTTTTTTTTTTACCCTCTTCTGGGTTCAGCTTACTCTTTTCAATTTCCTTTCTTGTAATATTAAGTGTCAGAAATCCATATCGATGCATCGATTTTATGACACAGAGTGAAGAAGAGTAGTGGGGGGATGAGGAGAGAGGAAGGAAGGTGCTGCCGAGAGAAAAATTAAGAGCAGGAGAGGGAGAGCGAGCCCGGGAAGATAAAGATTAATGGCCATTTTTCTCATGTAACCCAGTTTTGGCAGCTCACAGGAGTCATTTAGGGTGTCATCTGTAAATGTGTGTAGAGGCACGTGTGTGCCTCAGTACTGGGTATATGCTGCAAAATGGACTAGGAGACAAACGGGCAGCTTCTCCTCCGCAGGCGCTGTGTCTGATGAGGATTGATCTTGTGTTTGTCTCTGCTGCTGAGTCGCTGTGTTCTGAGTGAGTGCTGGTTGGTTTTACATGCAGAGACGTCTTGGCACAAAGCAGAAGAATAATGTTGATTGTTTAGTCTTCTATCCAAGACACACTGGGCCACTGATCCTGGATCAGGATGGATGTCGCTGAATGGAGTATTGTAAAGCTCATGTGATTTCTGTTACACCTCAGCTGGCGTACGATTACTTACTACTCCAGCAGGATTAGCAGCATTACAGCTCACGAGCCTCCTGATTAAAATGTATGTCTGTCTGTGTGTGGTGATCTTGTGTTTGGCTTTCAGATCTGAGGACAGTTTGTCATGCTTGATTTTAGAGATGAGGTTAGAATTTGGTTTAGCATGGGCAGCTACATTGGCATTCGGCTTAGCAGACTCCTGAGAATCAAGGGCAGCTAAATGGAAAATTGCTAATAATGAAATATGTTGCTGAAAAGTTAATTAACAATCACCTGTTTCCGGGTCATTGTTTATAAAAGCACATAAAATATTAAAGCTAATAAAAAGTTTAACTCATAGTTGGTGGATTAAACATTCAAGGACCAAACGTGCCTTTATCTACCTTAATGGGCAATTTGTTGTACAGTCAGAAGAAGTCGCACAGAGGGTTTCAAGTACGCAGTCTTAAATAAACAACAAGTGAAACATGAAAACTTACTAAAAATGTAGAAGTCCAGAATAAAGTAGGATTATTATAAAGTTAGTGTGTCATTTAAAAGGCCAGTGGCAGCCGAGGCAGATAAGGTTTAGTCTTTGCCATTTGTGTTGGTATACTGTGTCTGAAGTCAAACAGAAGCAACGTGAGCTCCTCAGAAAAAGGGCCAAGATCAGCCACGACTGACTGGGCTTCTTGGAAGTCCTAGGCTCATGTGCAATGTTGCTGCACACGTTGATGATACCTTGCAGTCTACTTTTATTTTTTTTAAGGTTCAGTGACATGTACCAGGCAAATGTGGATGTAAGAGTAGATTCAATGAAACATAAACACCACAAAGTTTGTGAAAAAAGTACATGTGCTGCTAAGTTTTTCTTTAAGAGGCACCTACTTGAAGCTCAAAGGTCAACAGCATGCACATAAATGGTGAATAGTACTTGAACTAAAGGCTAGAAACTAGACTGGAAACCAGGAAGGTTTCCCCACTAAATATTTCTCCCATATTTACAGAATCTGATTACGGGGACCCTCATGTTACTCATTGTTATGGTCAATATATCAACGTGAAAACGTCATGATTTTGCATTCTTAAAATGTATTTTGTTGTCAAAAATAGTGGTGAAAATACATGCTTTCTTTTGTTCACATTTTCCTGGTGTCCCAGCACGAGTGAGTCAACTAATGCTAAAAGTTGATGCTGTTTTAAAGGCAAATGGTCGTCACACCCAATATTGATTTTAAAATGTCCATTTCCTGCACTTTGTATGACGTCAGTACTTCACTTTGAGTGAGATGATTTGATTTTCACTGTGTTGGATTCCTGTGGTCTTTGGGGAAATTGTTTTGGTCTTTGCTCAAATTTAGATGTGTTACTGTAAGAGGTTTCTCATTTCTGATTAGATTTTTTTTTCAAGCACTAATTTCTGTAAGTGTCTGTGTAAACCCGTGACTTGCTTGTGCCTCTCGTGCACGCTGTTCATGTGTGTTCATCTGTGTCATTGAGTTAATGGAGGGTCTTGGCCTCGGTAATGGAACCCCTCCCTGTAGGCCGTGGATAATTTAATTAATGTCAACCGTCTCTCCATCCCTCCTCCTTTCCTTGTGACTCATCTGTGTTATTCTTTGGCTTTGAACACTTGTCCTCATCTACTTGCAGTAACTCACTGTCTTTGGCTGGTTTCAGGCCAAACCCTGCAAGAATCACTTAAGAATCACCCTTTTCTTGCTTTCTTTCTGCCTATTTTTCTTTCTCCAAACACTCATTTAATGCTTTAGGTAAAGAAAATAGTCAAACGTGTAAGTGGCAGCTGAATTTTCTTGCACAACCTCCTTCTAGTTTATTCATTCTTCATTGAGACAGGAACAGTTGATTCATTTTTGCCCAGCTCGTTACTCTTCCTCCCTCTACAGCAGCGCTTTTAATGTTTATGGAGGGAGAGCCATTTGTGGAGTCACTGTAATGATCCATGATGTAATGGCGTACCTTGTAATTCTTAAGGGGAGCAGCAGTCTAAGTAAGGCTGCACCCAAACAGACACAGCAGCTGGTTTTCTTTCTTCAGTGTTCACTTTTAAATTGGTGCCACTTTTGTCTGTGGCAGTTCTTGTATGTTCTCTGAATGAATGATGATTGGGTCTGATTTCTTTTGTGTTTCCAGGTGGAATCGCAGGTGGCATAGAGATCTGCATCACCTTTCCCACAGAGTATGTCAAGACCCAGTTACAGCTGGATGAGAAGGCCAATCCACCAAAATATAGAGGAATAGGTTTGTATGCAGTGAGTGGAATAGTGTAAAATGAGTGGAATTCATTCACCAGCCACTTCATTGGATATGCTTGTTCAGTCACACATTAATGTGAACATCTAATTAGCTAATCACATAGCAGCAGCTCAGTGCATTTGAGCATGTAAATATGGCCAACCTCCTGAAGTTCAAACCAAGAGTCACATGAATTATGAGAGAAGAGGACAGACTCATCAGCAGGCAGATGTAAACAGAAGGCAAACGTTTATTTAGGCTGATTAGAGGAACTCAAAACTCATAGCACTTCAAAAACTGTTAGACACACAGGGGCAGTAACAGAAATATGAGGGTAATTAGCATATGTGGACACAGCAGGGTATTGAGAGACAGGTGAAAATAAGGAGGAGAAAGACAACTAAACACTACACACTGAAAAAGAGTAACGATCAGAATAAAACAGGAAGTGATAGCAATAACTCAATTGGGGGAAAACAGACTCACGAATTACAATGTGAATTTAATATGGGATAAAAATGTCTCGATGCATGCTCAATCATCCAGGCAAGGAAATCCCAGAAAGTTGATTCTGTTACTCTTCGTCAGTCATCCAAGTGGCTTCTTCAGTTTCAACATCCAGATGCACAAAATCAACTTTCTGGGATTAATCTAGGGTAGTTGACAAAAGATGATGGAACGCTTTACATAAAACAGCCTGGCCATGTCTGTCCTTTTATGACCGCAGTGCATGCACGGCCCATGTCATCCTATCTGGTTCTTTTTGGTTGCGTTATCATTTTAATTTTTGTTTTTTTACATGCAACACATTTCATCAACCCATCAATGGACTGCTTTACACCAATGATATGTACTTACAGACATTATGTTTATTATTGAATCTGTTAAGCTTTTGTTAATATTTATAAAATTGGAAGCATAACTCTATTCGTGGCATTTGAGCAAGTCAAAACACTAGCATGGTGTACCTAATGAAGTGACCAGGGAGTGCAGGATTTAATCTGGTGGCAGACATCTACTACAGGCTCAAAAACGGTATTCTTTATTACTTTTATTCAAATTTTCAGCAAAACCTAATAAAATAAACAGTATTTCTGCAGCAAGAGAGCATAAACAATGATAAAAAAAACACACAATAATCCAATAAAAGCAACACTCTCGGGAGCTCATTATCTAATTACCCATCATCCCCAGGTACATTAGTGATTCTGGCAGGCTGTCACTGTGCTTGTTTATATGACTTAGATCAGACCAATGCACACTCGCCATCCATGCATACGAGTGTACACAAACACACCCAGGATCTGTGGATATCATTTGAGGATTTGAGGATTGGAGACCGTGCTAATGAGCACTCAAGACAGCTGCTGCTTTTCTTGTTCAGTTGGCTTCATTGGAGAACTTTGATTGCTGGACTGATGCAGCCAAGAGCCAGGAAAAAGCTTAAAGTAAAACACCAGATTTTGTGAAAATATCAGCTGAGGTTCAGCCTATCTGCGGCATATATATGTTATATTTAATTACTGTTGCTACATGCTCTTTTGTGATGTTGATGATTGAGGTGTAAATGACAAGTGTATTGGTGTATTCTCTAAAGGGTTAATGCACTCAGCCTGAAAAACAGACAAATTGTAGAATTTTTATATTTGAAAATTAGAAAGCAAACTGTGTTGTATGCAAATATGCATATCATGTTCATTCTATAATATTTGCTGCTTGTGTACCTGCTTTAGGTGACTGTGTGAAACAGACAGTACAGAGTCACGGTATCAAAGGGCTGTACAGAGGTCTCAGCTCTCTGCTGTATGGATCCATACCCAAATCTGCTGTCAGGTATGTTATAAAGCAGAGGTCTGTCATGTGCAAGGTAAATACATTTGCTTGAGCATAATTTGTGATGTAATATTCTCAGTTTATTAAGTTAAAATATGGCTGACGTAAAGAGCAATGTCCACAGTCACAACACAGTAAATGCTGCTTGCAGATTTACTGCACTTCTACTTTGTTACGGTGTAAGAAAATGGAATCAAAAATGGAATCGCAGTGATGCTGTATATACTCCTCCTCCTTCTGCCCCTCTTAGTTCTCCTTTCTTCCTCATCATCATTGTATAAAATCAGTTTTTTTGTTTGTTTGTTTTAAAAAAAACTTTTTTGATTGTCTTTAGGAGGATGTGTGGTCAGCAGATCTATTTTCACATGACACAGCAGTTAGTGTGAAGGAATTGTTTTAGAGGACACATTTTAGATACCTTCACTTTGTTAATTAACTGAGCATGTACACAGCATTAAAGGCAGAGGTAGCCATGGTGATCATTTGTTATGAAAGTCCTGTTTTGAGGTCTAGGGTAGAGCATTTTCGTCATGGTGTTTTGAAAGTACCTGACGAGCAAAGGGTGGATTGACAGCATAGTGAGACTATCTTCATTTCTGAAACAAAAGACTGAGCTCATAAATTCATCAGGAAAGTGTTTACTGAGGTTACAGAGCAACTGAGCTGAGGGCTGTTTTCCCATAGACTTCTATACAACAGTAACCTGCAACGTGATGAATCACCCCTGCTGTCTATTAGATAGAATGGAGGTTTAAGTTACTTGCTCAGTGGCTTCATTTTTTTAGACCTAGAAGCTACACCCAGCTTTTATGCTATGTATGGGATACACCCTTTCCTCAGATTGCTTGCATCATTCTATAAATAATAATAAGAACATAAAATAAGAATCATTTTAATTTAACCCATGTGTCATTTTTTTAAAGCTTTTTCCCGTCTTTCTTCTCATTGACATTTTTCTTGATATCAGACAGAAATGACACTTGAACTCAAAGCTTTCTAAAAAAGTTTTTGCTTTTAACTTTGTTGATTAAAATCTTAGATCGCATGCTTATATTCTAATAATCACAAACTGGTAGAGAGTACATATGTACAAATATAAATGCACTGAAGGAACGTGGAATGAAAGGAACCCTTTTAGCTAAAGCCGCTGTGATCTTCTACCTGAAACCATTAACTCACACACTCCAATTATTCTAGTCCATTACCCACAAGGCAAGGCATAAATGCCACACTAGCATTCAGTATAATTATGTTATTCTTTTGTAGCAGTGACATTTATCTTCAGACAAGTGTGAACACACACACACACACACACACACACACACACACACACACACACACACACACACACACACACACATATATTTTTGTAGCTATTTTTGTGAGAACATTTATGGACATATTACACTCCCTAGTGCCTTACCCAATAGAAACCTAACTCTTACCTTTTATCATAATAATAATAATAATAATGGATTGCATTTTACATAGTGCTTTTCGGGACCCCTCAAAGCGCTTTACAATACCACTATTCATTCATTCTCACATTCACACACTGGTGAAGGCAAGCTACAGTTGTAGCCACAGCTGCCCTGGGGCAGACTGACAGAGATTGAAAGTGAAAGTATTAACCCTCAAACAGCCCTTTGAAGGGGTGTGGGAAAATGAAAAATCTTCACTTCCTCACTGTGTCCTCACTCCATTGTTCTAAAACTCAAACTGATCCTCATAAAGATAGTTCTACATACATACGTACACACACACAAAATAAAGAAAAGAGAGAGGGGATAGGAGGCAAAACGATTAAAATGAAGCACAAAAAAGTGTGTGTGTGTGTGTGTGTGTGTGTGTGTGTGTGTGTGGTGTGTGTGTGTGTGTGTGTGTGTGTGTGTGTGTGTGTGTGTGTGTGTGTGTGTGTGTGTGTGTGTGTGTGTGTGTGTGTTATGCTGGAGGGTAACGTGTGTCTGTACAATAGAGAGACAGGCCCAGCCAGGCGGAGCAAAGATGCCACTCAAACTCCGACAGGGTCTCAATAGGGTTACAAACAGGGAGACTTGGGTGTGTTTATGCTGATGCACAGTGTATATGTTTGTGTGTGTGTCAATCAGCCTTTAGCATCATTTTAAGAGTGAGTCTGAATGGTTTTGTTTCAGCTCAAAGGAGAATTTTCTGTGAGGGAATATGGCAGGGTGGCGAAAAGCCGTTTATTGCCATAGAAATGTTATAAGGGAATATGATGTTATTTATATATGGATTTTGGACACTTTCTACTGTGCAGTGAAGTTTAAAAATCTTTATAAATGGCCACATTGCATATTAGCATTCGTATAACATGCTCTCTGTGGTGTATACACATTTAGGCCAGGAATCTTTTAAGCTTGTGACCCATTTAGCTGTTGACTATAATCAGCTGTTTAGCTTTTTTTATACTTTGTCAGCCCTAAAGAAAAAATATTAAAAATTCTTAATAAAATCACAAAAAGGACAAAATTAAAAGCAGATTTGAAACATATAAATGATCCTGCAAAAATGCTTTTTCTACTTGATACTGAAATAGAAGAGACTAAACAAACTGATAAGGATATTTTGACTTTTTGTGATGGGTAAGGTCATCTTCTATTTCTGCTCTTGAGATCAGCCTACTTTGAAAATTAAAACTGCATACAAGTGGTCACATTTTATATAGAAATGTGTATGAAATGCCTTTGTCTCCATTGTCTACATGTCTTTTGGTCTTTTTCATTTAAGATTCTTACCCCTTTAAATGTCTAATAATAATGATTATTATAGTTATAATTAAATCTGCAAAAGCTGTATATTTAAAAGGATCAGAGGGAAAACCAGTGACTTCAAAATACTGCAGAAAATAAATACTTGAGTTTAAAAAAATAAAAATAAAAATGAATATGAGAAATTAAAAACTGCTGAGATTTGGAAAGTTAGTTTTGATTAATGGAGAATACCTTGACACTTTTCTATTAAGCACTGCTTGGTCTGCTTAGCTTTTCTACCCCTGCCTTTTTTTTCCTTACTTCCTCCATCTTCTTTCCCCTTCGTCTTTTCCATCACTCCTTTTCTTCCAGCCCGCTCATTCCATTAACTGATTGCCTGTGCACCCTCATGTGCCATGGAGTATGCTGGAAGGTTGTCAGGGAGGTAAGAGAGGGACATGCAAGAGAGCTTTTGACCTTTGTCTCTCCTTAGCTCTTCATCCATATCAGCATCAGCATTCTTTCTTCTCCCTTTCCTTTCCTTCGTCTTCTCGACAGAAAAAAGTGACCCTATAAAAACGACCCCCTAACGAAGACTGGGCAGCAGTCCACTATCTAGGATGACTCATCTGTGACTGTGGATGTCAGCCAAACGATGTGTCACATTCTGACTGTAAAGTTTAGTCCACTTGTTAAATGAGTCGGGGAGAGGCTATAGAGTAAATTGGCAAAGGAGAGAGCCTGACAGTAGCATATTTCTCCTCGGCAGACTTTAATGAATAGCATTTGTTTCACAAGGTTAGTCATTAAGTGCTCTGCCATCATTCTAGCATGCTGTGCGGAAGAGCTTTATTTTTTAATTTGCCCTAAGCTAAAACAGTGTTTGTAGTCAGCAAATGGTGTGAGAAAAGACAGGAATTTATGTTTATGTACTGTTAGGTGCTGCTAAGGATTCAGTTTATTGTGGGGAGCCTGTCTTTCAAAACAATCTGAATCAGTGCGAGTAGTGAGACAGGAACAGATGTGGAGAGTTAATGAGCAGAAGTAAGTCTTGGTTAGAACGGCAGATGGAGAAGAAAACTAAAATCCGATGAAGCGAGTCTAGTTTTTTTTTATTTATTTATTTTTTAGACCTGTTACAACAGCAGGTAAATGGTTCAAGCAGACTGAGAAAAGAGAGGAAAACAAAGCATTCATCAAGACCTAATGTCTGTGCTCCCCCTCCTCTTTGCTAAATGTACCAGGCAGTGTCCTCCCGCCGCCACAATTCAATTCCATCTATAAATAACCTTTCTTGCAAAGGACTTGCTGGCACACCATTTGCAGAGAAACACAAACCACACCTCTCTGTAGCTGGGCTGGCTTCCATGGCAGCTGTTGCTGGTCACACATTGGTTACTGAGACTCTGCAGTTTATTGGTTCATCTTTAATGAGGATGCAGGACGATAAAATTAAAACGCCTGAACACATTAGGCTGTTACAGCAGTTTGCTTTCTCCAAAAATCTGAGTTGGAAGAAGCTTTCTAATTTCATCTGTGCTCACTGAGACATGAAAACCCTTACCTTTGCCTGCAGTATTACTATCTATTTGAATTTATTTAGTTTACTCAATTTTAGTAAAAACAAACGTGACTACAGTGGGTAGTTTAATTTCTTAAATCAACTTTGAACTTGCAGTGTTGCCATGTGAAAGACTGAAATAATCTGAGTATTTGTAGAAGAAATTATTTCACAGTTCAGTGTAATCACAAAGATTGCCCACATGTAATTATTAAATGAGATTAACTTTGTTATTCAGTCTGTTTTTCTCAGACACTCCTATGTCTACATTTCCCATAATTCTTTGCTGGCTTTTTTCCTACTTGTTAGGTTTGGGGTGTTTGAGTTCCTCAGTAACCACGCCAAGGATGAGTCCGGTCGACTGGACAGCACCAAAGGCCTGCTGTGTGGGCTTGGAGCCGGGGTCATGGAGGCTGTTCTGGTGGTCTGCCCAATGGAAACAGTCAAGGTGTGTTACTGAAGCTCATCTGAGCTGACCCTCAAATATAGAGAGAGCAACAGTGTCAATGTATGAAAATGTATAAAAACTTAGATAAAGTGCAATAGTTTGGTGCCTTTGTAGGTCCACTGTGAATTATAATCTATAAATTATGAACTGCAAATAATGAAATTTTACTAAATGGGATAAGAGATATTTGTGCATTTTAAAATCACTTCATGTTAGAGGGACTTCAGTGCAAAGATGGACATCTTGGGATGTTCATAATCTGTTGTCTAAATGGACCGTTTGTTAAATGTGACCGTTTTCAGAAAGTGGGCAGCATGATGGTGCAGCAGTTAGAGCTCACATCACCTGAAAAACCTCAATAAGGTTTCTGGTTGTAATTTTTGTCTGCTGGGGCCTTTCTGTGGGGAGTGTGCATGTGTGTCGCTGTGTCTGTGAGGATTTCCTCCCACAGCTCAAAGACAGGTTTGGTTGTGTGGATGTGAGAGGGTGCGGTGTTCTGCTTCACTGTTTTAGCCCTGTGAGAGACTGCGGCTATTTCGGCTGCAATTTTGGATTCCAGCGATTATTAAAAGATTACTGAGATAAAATAATGTGTGCCACATTCTGTGCAGGCTGTGGCTTGTATACAGTTTGATATAGCAACAATTTTATCAGAGTCTATGAAGAATTGTTAAGAATGACTTATAAATTATTCTCATCATGATTTTTGTCATATTGTGTCTTCGGCTTATGAAGTAAAACTAGTTGAAAACCACTGACTGAAGGTTAAAGTTACCAACCTTTTTAGAGAAATATTCTTTGTAAGAGAACTACACTAAACCTCTTCAGTTTTCACTCCCACATCTGTAAAATGTATCGTCTGTATTTTTGTGTCTTTAATCTCCCAAGGTTAAATTCATTCATGACCAGACATCAGCCAACCCCAAATACAAGGGATTCTTCCACGGAGTCAGAGAGATGATCAGGGCTCAAGGTAAACGTGGGCTTCATGCATGACATTCACCTGACATCTGCTGGTTGGTTAGGGTAATGCACTGGGAAACACTGACCCTGGTCAAGCATCAACAACAATATTCACTCTCATATCATTGTGTAAATCATCAGACAGACTGCCCCCCTGCCCTCCCCCTCCAACAACATTTACAGCCTCTCATACTGAAACACCTGAGATGTGATGTCAGTTAAGATTTTAGTTCTTAGCCCTTAAGTTGGAAATTGGGATTGGACTGTGGTATTCAGGTTCTTTTCTATTCAATGTGCGGTCTAATTTAATTGAAGAAGGATTTATTAACTTATCCTCTGGCTTCCGGGTTGAACAGGATTAAGAGGGACATATCAGGGTCTAACTGCAACAGTCTTGAAGCAAGGCTCCAACCAGGCTATTCGATTTTTCGTGATGACTTCTCTCAAGAACTGGTACAAAGGTGCGTGTACACGAGTACAGCTGGTTTGTTATTACTATAAACAATATTTAATAAAAAGAGACCAACTCTGCAAATGGTCTGAAGGGTTATTGTAGGTCATTGTGCAGTTCTTTGAACCCCAGTTGGGTTTCCAAAGGCTGTTTTGCATAGTAATAATACAGTGTGTGGAGATTGATATATATATATATAGAGTATTTCTTTTAATATTTATGATGTGAAATTAATTAGCACATTAGTAGCCTTCATGTTAATGAGTTTAGAACTAACTCTGATTTAGAGCTAACCCCACCCTTCATACTGCTCTGTCACATTCATAAGGTGATAACCCCAACAAAGCAATAAATCCACTGGTGACTGGACTCTTTGGAGCCACAGCAGGAGCAGCCAGTGTATTTGGAAACACTCCACTAGATGTCATCAAGACAAGGATGCAGGTACATAATGCAACAGATGCTACAAATCACACGCTTTTTCTTACTTGTGTTTTTAAATACGAACTTGCAACCCGTGGACAGATGTACTAATGCTCTTCTGCTTTTTCTAAAGGGTCTAGAAGCACATAAATATAAAAGCACGCTGGACTGTGCCATGAAGATCTTGAGATATGAAGGGTTGGCAGCGTAAGTACACCTCCATGTTTTATTTCGTTTGGTTTGGCTTGTAGTGTTGGTTTCACAGCTGATTTAAAACAAAACAGCTTTAAAAAAACAATGTGTCTTTCTTTATTTCACAGATTCTACTGTCAACACTGTATAAGAAATGCTTTTTGGCTTTAGTTTATTACTCTAAAGAACTTGAATGAAAAAATCTAAACTTAAACACTTTAAGAATAAGAATGTGCCAAATGATTAAAAAAAACAAAAACTAATCAAAATACTGGAAAATATAACCCTAACCGCAGATAAATATGGCTCCACCCTAAACAATTAATGTCTTACATACTCCTCCCTCTTTCTTTATCCCTCTACAGGTTCTATAAAGGAACAGTTCCCCGGCTTGGCCGTGTATGTCTTGATGTGGCCATAGTTTTCATCATCTATGAGGAGGTCGTAAAGGTTCTGAATATGGTCTGGAAAACAGAATAGGTGGTTGGACATACGACGAAGGTGGCAACTTCCTCCTTCACAAGCATCAGACATAGATCTGACTTCAGCAGGCCTCTTTTGTGTCATGAAACCAACAGCAGAAGGGGTGAAAAAGAGAGCTGAACTTAGATTAGTGTTGTATGCAGAGCAGGAAGTCAATATACTCGGAGACAAAAGAAGAAAAGGGGGCCTGGCGTCACCTACACCTGGTGTAAGTGATGCTCAGCATCAACATTCCCTGACAAGATTGAAGAAAAAGAAAGATAAATGATAATTAAATAATAATAAAAAGAACCTTTATTCTAAAGATGCATCACCAGTTTATAAATATATAGATAAAATACTGGCCAATAGCATCGCCAGCAGCAGCACCTTTATTTTAAGTTATCTGGTTTACTTTCTCTGTAAGCCTCTGTCAGGGAAGAGCATTATATGTAGTCATTCACAGCTGTTTTACTGCAAATATGCAGATATCCGGCTGGATTTTCTTGAGTTTGCGTTGCTTTCTGTCTCTTCTAAAAGTCCAGAGGAGCCAGAGTGCAACTGGTTGCAGTTTGCAGTCACACAAGCTGCAGCAACTTCCATAGTTGGGCCTTAAATAAAATTGGTTTATAACCTGCCATGTATTTTTATACAGTGTAGATTCAATTTAATTTATTGATAACTTACAGAATATTATATATTTTAAATCCTGTGCCAAATGTCAAACCTATTGTGTTATGAAAGTCTGTTCAGAAGAAAGCAAAAGTAACCTAATTATCTTAAGAGAATAGTAAATATTATGACTATGTACTGTGAGATACATAATTTTTGGAAGTGAATTATTAAATAGAGAATTAAGAGAATATTTGCTGTTAATCTGTGCCACACTGTTGTTGTTGTTTTTTTTTTCTTTATCGGGTGTATAAATGTTTGGGTTTTTTTGTTTTTTTTTTTTTTTTTTTTTAAGATCACTGTGAGTCTACAAGACACAATGAGTTGTTTAGACAAAGTAACATCGGGCTTCTATTTTGCTTTTAGTGGAAACAACACTTCTAACTGGGTCATATTTTACCAACCTGACTCCACCCAGTGTGGATTTTTGTTCTGTTTACATTAGATACAGTTTTACTTTTTATTTTATTTATTTATTTTTTCCTGCTAAATACACTGCTCGGCCAAATTAAAAAAAAATAAATAAATAAAAAAAATTACAAATTCTAATATTTTATTGGACCGGCTTTAGCTTTGATAACAGCATGCAATCATCAGGGCATGGTTTTGATAAGCTTATGGAATATCACAGCATTTATTTCTATCCAGGGTTGGTTTAATTTTTAATTTTTTTTTGCCAGGATCTTGATGATAGCAGTGTCAGGCCACTGTGAACATCACAAAGATTCTCAATGAGTCTGCGGCCAAGTCATGTGTGAAAACAATGATTTGTGTTCCCTGACCTGCTCTTTCACAATATGAGCCTGACAAATCCTGGCATTGTCATCTTGGAATCTGACCGTGCTATCAGGAAAGAAACAAACATTACTGAAAAAACCTGGAGGATGTTCAGGTCATGTGCTGACGTCATTATTTGGGCAAGTAATGCTGCTGAAACTCAAACTGCTCAGATCATAACACTGCCCCCGTGCGAGGCATTCGCCATGATGTATGCATCACTTCATCCGCCTCTTTTCTTACCCCAGTGCACCAATGACTCTGGAACAGGGACCTCATCAGACGAAATGCCTTTTATTTATTTATTTTTTACAATGCTCCAGAGTTAAATTGTTATCCTCCTGAAGTGGCATTAAATCAAGTTCACGACCACAGGATATCACACGATTCTTTAAGAAAGAGAAATTACTCACTGCATCAATTAGGGTTCAATCTATTGCCATCTGAAACTTCACTATCTGTCCAATGGAAGGATGCTAACTATTTGCTTCATTCCAGGTGGTGACTTTTTTTTTTCTGGGCAGTAATTGTTTCTTATACAAATTTTTGGATGATTGTTGGAAATCAGTTTGTTCAGTTTCCAGCGTCATTCTGTTTCAGTGCCATGTTTCATTCAAAGTTGAACTCCATGTGCCTTTTGCGGGTGTGTTTGTTGGCGAAAACATCTTGACCAGTATCCTCATGCATTATCCAGCTTCACCAGGGTGACAGTAATTTCTGTGGTGGTTAAAAGCGGTTAACGTTTACATAACCAACATCATGCCATCAAATCCAGAAACCCTAATTTTTAACGTTTCTGTAAACACTCATGAATGTTGTTTTTTGACTGGCATTCACCCTGTTCTGTCCTTTTAGGTGTGACAATAGCTTATTTCATGTTTAATTAACCTGCTCTTTAATCATCATACAAGAAAACTGTGTGGTCCGGACATGTTTTTATAATAACAACAAGGGGTCTGCTTGTTCTAGTTGTTACCACTGTTCGAGTATTGTAATTCTCAAAATTGTCTTTTATTTAATATTCATGAAAATATTATTATTATTATTCTGTATTTTCTGCGCAGCCAGACAAAGTACTCATGTTCACCACTGCCAGACAACCAAGAGAACATTATACTGTGATAATAAATCAGTGTATTCCAATGTTGTGTATATGGAATTGTGTGTTTGTGTGCGTGTGTGTGTGGGTCATGTTGATGAAGCTTGTGCAATAAATGTCCCTTACTTAATGTCTGTGCTTTAATGTAAAGTTGTTTGTTGTAGGGGGATTTGAAAACAAATTAAAATAAACATCTGAAACATTGAAGCATGCAGTCTGGTTGTTTTTGTTGCCCTCCTCACTCGTTAACTGTTATTCTGCCCTTTTCCTCACTGCAGATAACATCAGGACAAAGGGGGGGCAGGCAGGTAGGGGAGGAATCGAACAAGGAACTCGTTCTTCTAGTTTTGGCTCTTGTGCCTGTACAGTGAACTGTAACTATCCATGCTTTCTCTCTCTCTCTTTCTTACTCATTTCGTTACTCTCTCTCTCACGCATTATTCAAAACACTGGTTCAGGAATGCACAGCTCTCTGCAGAAGATGACTTGAAATTTTTAGTTTGAATGAGGAAGTAGAAGGACTCATAAGTAAAACTCAAGCAACAAAGTAAAAAAAAAAAAGTACTCACTGTGGGGAATTCTTCTTCTTTGGGAGAGTCCAGCTAAACTTGAAGCTATCTAATGCAGTACTGTAATAAATCCATTAATTGGGTCATAATGTTGCGTTTGTGATGTTTGTGATATAATTCCTTGACTTCCCCCTTGTGCAACCTCAACATCTTTACAGTATAAAGATTCTTGTGGCTTGGCTCAGTTCCATCGAAGCACCCTGACATTTTCTCACACGCTTTACTCCCGGACATCACTTGATCCAGATCCTGCAGTCCTTCAGCACATCAAGGTGTTTGTAAATGTTCTGTCTCACTCTGTTATTAACTCATCTTAGCTGAAACTCAACAAAGAGCTTTTAGTGGGTGACATTAGAAAGGCCTAGGAACTGGTGTGCGCAAACACCGAAGGTCTCCTTGGAGTGTGATAACAGCGTCTCCAGAGATGTTGTTCAGTATCAGTAGGTGGAAGGAATGCATGCTGTGTGCAAACATCTTGAGGATATTCCTTTACACTCACAATTTTACGGTAATAGAGGAGCACGTGTGAAATGCTGACTTTAAACAAATGTGATGTACAATCCAATTCTGGGCTTGTTGTCATGGTCCTGGGTTTTTGTGTTTCTGGGACTTGAAAATTTTGTGAATAACTTCACTTTAGGTTTTTGTTTCAGTTCTGTTATTATGTTAGAATTTTAAGTTGTTTCTTTATCCTTGAGAAAACAAGGTTAAACCTACTATTATTTTATTATTCCAGTATTTTGTGAGTGAGTGTTAGTTTATGTGCTTTTGAGTCTGTGATTCCTGGTTTTACCTTATGACTAGTCTACTGATAGTTTTCTCTCTCTCATGTCTTGTTAATGACTGTTCCTCTGTTTCTTTCATGTCTACTGTGATCCTTCTGATCTCCCTGTTTAGTATTTGTCTTTGGTTTATTCCCTGTGTTACTTTGAAGATTAGTTTTGTTTCATGTGTCTCTCTCTCACACACAGCCTGTGTCATTTGTGCAGTCTTGTGATATTTTCTGTCTCATGTTTTTTTTGGTTTTTCCCTTCTTTTTCCTTTTTCTTTTTTCTTTTAAATGCTATCCTAATTTCAGGATCTAAAAACATTTTTCTCTGATTTTATTAATTCTTTTTCTCCTGTTTCTACTGTAATTCATTCTCATCATTGTATACGTTTATCTTACACATCCTGCATTTATGGCCTCCACACAGATTCACACTCATTTTCAATCACAGTGGATATTTGATTTCTTTCTCAGGGCAACAAAGAAACAAACAAAAAACAAAAACAAACCTAAAACAAACATTGACAGCCAAATGCTGTTTTTCCTGACAGAAACTAAACTTTGCACCTTTATCACAAAAACAGATTATTCAAGTTGGTGATTATACATGAATATAGTTCAAAGGAAATGAACTGAAGTACTGTATACTACACATTTCATCTGCTTTAAGCACTAGTGGGCGCTGTTTATCAAACACGCGTACACACTTCACCGACGAGAACGCCCCCTCCTCCCCCCCTCCCAGCCCCTTCGAGTGCGCACAATAGGGCTTTATGAGGAGCGGCATCATAACGCTGTCTTCCTCTTCTTCTCCCTTTCTGCTGCTCGGCAACGAGCAATAAACAATAAAAAAAATTGTTTCTTGAGAGTAGCTTGATTGTGTTGCCAACTTGCAGCTTGTAGGCGGTTAAACGAACTGAGTATGTTTAATGAAAAACATTTCCAAAGAATTAGCGCAAGTTTATGTCTCACTCTACTGCCCCCCTAACCCCAGCCCCCCACACAACTTTTTACTTAAATATTTCTCGAGGGCAAACATGTTTGAATCTTTTCATGGTTATAAAGCAATGCATTAAAACAAGCAATTTTAGAACATGGAGCTTGAATAATTAACAAAGCTCCAAAAAGGACTCGCAACTCCTTAGAATACTTCATACAGATTTGTACATCAGATACCGCTGGATTCAAAAGCAGGACAAAGAGTTGCAGATCCAGCATTTTCTATACGTTTGTGACCGTAACTAAAGTGGAGGAAAGCTATTGTCTTTGCATTTGTGCTTTTACAGTATCCGCCATGGCTGTTTTTCTCCAGCCAGAGCCAGTGAAGAGAAAGTAATTTCATTGTTCTCCAGTCTTTCTCTCAGCGGGATGGATGCACTTAGTTCTTCGGCATGAGTGGACATTATTTTGTTGCTGCGGCTCAAAAGGACCTCGTCAAATTGCACGGTGGCTGCAGACTGAATGTTGATTTCTCTTTCGTTTAGTTTTAACGTAACATTAAAATGACCAGGCCGCTGTCCGTGGTGCTGAATTCGATTTTGTGATCGGAAGAGCTGATATGGACAAAAACCTGTTACACAATATTTACACTCACTGCAACAGAAATCGCGTAGCATGCATTTTTCATTTCAGGTGTATGCAGCTGTTTTATTGAAATGTGTCTGATTCCAGCAGACCTTATACAGGCCCTCGTTGAGGCTTATTTTACTTTTCCACTGTAATCTTGGCAGCAGCAGAGGGCCAAAATATTTTGAAACTCATATATTTATTTATGTATCTGAAACCTCACACACAAGCTAGAGAGAGAGCGCAAGGTTGGTGCTGTAAGTCTGTAAGTACCGAACAGTAGCTTGGGGGCGGTGTCCTGCTCACTAAAAGAGGAGTTAGTGAGCGCGCACGACTCCACTTAAATTTTACGCGTCACTTGTTCGTCCAGGCGTTTACACAGAAGATACCTCGTTTTCTGCACAAGCAGGACCATGCTGCACTTGGATTTTATATAGAAAATACAAATTTCACCTTAATAACATTATTTGATTATTATTATTTTTTTTTAAAAAGGCAACAACAGCACAGAGCAGCAACAGCGTGTGTGGAGCAAGTGGTCCCAGAAAGATTTCCGTCATGGGAGCGTATGGATGGAGCTCAGCGCGTCTTGGCTTTGTCGTTTGGGGATTTTTGGCATTTTTCTGCGGAGAATTTGTCCCACAGGCTGAAGCAGGCTGCAGGGAGCGAGAGAGCCCAAACTGCTGCACCGGCCGGAACAACGAATGTTTTGAGTACTCCAGGAGGAAAACAGTGTGTTACTGCGATACCTACTGTCAGAAAACAAGAGACTGTTGCGAGGACTATCAGAGCGTTTGCCAAATATCTGGTGAGTTGTTTGCTCTGTTGAGCTCGCTGACATTTGATATCAGATAACAGCAGTTTTGTCTATTTGAAGTTTGAAAGCTCAAAGAGCGAGGAAGAAATAAGGTATGTAGTGTATATATGTTTTGAATCCTATCCAATGACTGCTGCTGTTCATTGTTGTTTAGTTTTGGGGAGGGATGGCTGCCACTGAGGTGACACGTAGGGAGTGAGACATACTACACGTAGCTGTTTTTAATATGCCCAATATGGCTCTTTGTTTTAAGTGACCAGCGAGAGGTGACTACTGTCTGCCTTGTGTGGTTTTACATTTGTAGCTTCGACTCATGACCTTCACATCACAGCTTCACATTGCACAGCCTGGACATTAAGTGGTCTGAGAGACCATAACAACATTAGTTTCGTCTTAAAGCCAGAAAAATGACCTTAAATTAGAAACACTCATTTGCTTATTCCTTAAAACGTATTTGTGGGCAACCCCCCATCATCAACCAGGCTTTTGCTATATATGGACAAATGAGGGAACAGACACCATGGAAACAGACTGCCAAAGATGGTCAGAATTACAGTGGAGCTATGTCTTAGATGTGACAGACAGGAAACACTCTGACCTGTAACAAAAGCAACTCTTATAGTGAAGTATTTGGCACTACTCAAGTTCACAAAGAGATTTCTCTGGCATAAATACCCTGAGAATGTGACCCTCTTAAGCACACTTGAGGGGTCAGTCCTAAAGGGAAAAGAGCTTTTAAACTGTGGAGCAATCCCACTATTATATACAAGCTGGTTTGAGTATTTTATCTGTTCTGTGATGTGAATAGGCTGCCCCATCCAGACTTCAATCACTAACTTAAAACTGTGTACACAACTAACACAAGGACAGTTGTAATACACTTCATTAGACCTCACTGTTTACTATAAAGAGCCCATAAACACCTGCTAATCAATTTTAGCTGTAATACTGCCGTTATCAGAGCTACACTAGTTTTTGTACAGGTTAAAGCTCAGCTAAGGAGCATATGGTAATACAAGGGATCTAAAATGGAATAAGGATCCAGCATTTCATCTTTGCTGTATTGTCAGGCTTTAGAAAAGCTAGGCCATGACAGGAGACTTCACTCAATGTCTTTAAAACAGATCAGGCTGGTGGCATAAAGTAGCATGAAGGATGAAGAGGATTATTCAGGAATGAAGACATATTAGTAAACAAGTAGAGAGAAGAATTTTGAATGCATTGCGAAACCAAAGGTCAGTATTAACTCCCCTTTTCAGCCACCTGCATATGCTGGTTCTAGTTACGTGGGAGGGGCTTAGAAAAGAGAGGACTGCTTATTTCCAAACATTGGGAGGTTTTTTTCTTCTACTTTAAAAAAAAATTCTCCTTTTTTGATTTACCCTATTTCATCTTTAGTCCTTTTGCATCATTAGGTTTAAGCCATTTTTGCATTTTCAGGATTCTTTACTTTAAATTAAACAATTGAGTTTCTGTAAATTTAGGCTGAATTAGACTTGAGTTTGTTTGTCTTTAAATATGCTCAAGTGAAGCAATTCATCTCAGTAAGTGCCATGTCTGCTTTTATTTTGTTTACAGTACTGTTGTAGTGATGTGGTCCTTTACTGCAGTGTGGTGGAAATGTTGGACTGAAATTGAAATGGGGGTAGATAAGCTAAAGTATTCATAAACATCAGTATATTACTTTAAATTGCACATGAAAGAGTTAAGATTAACATACACATGAGTTTTTCTTTTGGCTTTGCTCTCAATGCCAAGCTGTTTTTATTGTTATGGAAACATTAGAAAGTGGATTTTTTTTAACTAAATAAATAAACTCTACAGTGTTTGTAAAACCAGAGATGTGACTTTTTGAAAGCAAGGGAGGAAGCAACACTTTGTGAACAGACCCAGATTTCTTTTTAATTTAACAATCAGCTAATTGCCATTCAGAAACATCATTTTGCCATTCACAAACCAGATCCATGTGTCTGACAAGCTGAATGTTAACAGGAAATGAGCTCAGGTTAGTGTGGAGCCATCATTGTAACAGCCTCTTATCTCAGCTCTTATCACAGCTCACAGCTGCCCTGTGCAGTTTTTTTTAATTTTTATTTCACAGTCTGAACATAAGAACGAACCCACATGGATCAATAAACATTTTGTATGCAATCTGAAAATCTTTACAGTAAAAACACAGCATTTATCGTCAGGCTTGGCTCTGCTCCATCCTAGCCCCCTGATATGTCCTCACCCACTTAACACTCAGAGTTGATCCTGAAGCTCTGCAACACATCAAGCAGTTTGTGTGTGACACTATTGGAGGCTGTAATTACCTCCTGTTTGCTGGAGCTCAACACAGTGCTTTGAGTGGGTGACATCAGAGCAGACACAGAAAAAAACATGGATATAAACACTCAGAGATGTTGTTAAAATGAAGGATTTGACAGGAGTGTGAACTGTGTGTAAACACAGAAGGACACTGTACAAGTTAAAGTAATGATTGAGCAAAATCAACTTGTTATAACATATAGCAAGCTGACATGATTTTTCTATTTTATGAACTTCATGTTTTGGTCATCAGTCTGGCTTATATAACTTCAGTAGTTGCAGGCTATTAATTTCCAAATGTACACCTCACAGCAAAAACTACTTGTAGGCATCTTTTGGCTGGTTTAGCAGGTCGAGCTGTTGGCCACCATTTTTTTTATTATTCTAGCCACAAACAAAAGTAAAAGTTTAAACCTCTCACTAATTAATGTTTATCTGAAAGGAAAACATCTCACAGTAAGATTAAGAACCAAGGAACAATGAGCTTTTGCTTCTGGCATCAGCACCTCAGAAAATTTGCTTATATTTTATAGAGACGTGCCAAATCTTTATTTGAAATCTTTGAAAGGTTTTTGCATTGGCAAAGATTGTGATAGATATTTAACTACCAGGAGGAAATGAGTTTTTAAAGACATACTTTGTATTGGTCAAAATCAGCACACCTTTTAAGTTGGTTTTGTCAGATTTCTCTGTTTATTCCATTCATGTATGAAATTAAACTGGATAATGCCCCCAAACAACTGCCAAATAAGGTCTCAGAGGCATTAAAGGATGGTTGAAGCGTGGTAACACTTGCTTCCAGAAGGACTTTGATGTTGTCTCCTGTTATAGAAGTGATTTTCATACACCAGTTTCAATCTTAACTCTATGGTTCCCATTACGATAAGCTCCCATTCCTCTTCATTGACTCTAGAGATCATTTGGGGCAGTATGAAGCAAGAAGGGGCAGCTTCTCTCTTCTACTGCAGCCTCTGGTGGTTCTCACCCTAACAGGAAAATACATTAAAGCCTCTGCATTTGGTACATGAGACTTTTGCTCATCATTCATCTCTCTCTCTCCTCTCTGTTTCTCTTTATTTTCTCTAGGGCACTGTGCAGTATGTTGTCATGCCACAATGTTTCCCTCTTTCCACCTAAGTTCACTCCCTCTTTTTCTTCCTTGCATCCCACATGTTCTCTGTTCTGCTAGTAGGGAATGTCTTTACATAATGAAGACTAAACAGGCCAGCTGTTGGATTTTTTTTTTTTTGGGGACAAATATGTTAAACACCTCTTGGCACTCACATGCTACATTTTGCAAATCTGATGTGCAGCATCTGGTTTCTTCTTGACAGGAAAACACTGCTGAGCTTGAAGGGCATTAACAGTTTTCACTCACTTACTGTACGCACAAATGAAGGTGCATATGCATATCACTAAATCGAAGGGGGCTTGCAAAGGGAAACTCCTGCCTTGGCTGTCTGTAGTGTTTGATTGCTGTGTTTGACTCTGTCCACCTATCATCAGGTAAAGGTCAAGGTAATTTCAGTACATTATTCCCTTTTTCTAGACTTCTTTCCTCTGCAGCTTCAAGGTTTTTGTCAGACTAATGGTGTTGGTGAGCAAATAGTGAGCATTTTCACACAGAGAACCTTTTTGTTTGACGAAAAATACAAAGATAATCTTTATTTTTTGTCAGCACTTCCATTTTTTTTAGTGTATGTCAAATCCGAAGCTCAGTTGAAGCAACTACACGAGTAATCTACTCAACTTTGTTAATGCTTCCATTCCTGAAAGGAAAAATTTAATCGTGTTTCACAGACAGACAAAGATCGCCTTATCTGTGAAGCCTCTAACTGTAATTCTTCTTTTTCTTTCTTGTTATAGTTTTTCTTCTTCACTTACCTTTTTTTTCACACACTATGTGTTTATACAAGTTCCTGCATTTAAGCATTAGATATTATTAATCTCTGGCTCTTTTCCACAGCATGTCTTTGTCCTGTCTTTCTCCCCTCAACCCCAGCCATTTGCAGCAGATGGCCGCCCTTCCTGCTTGTATATAGGAAACATTCACCTGCTATTAGGGCTCAGTCCAGTCTTCTCAACTCCTATTAACAGGCTTGAGGTTCCTGTTTTGGTGAAGATTATAAGGCTTGTCTGATGGGACCAAGGCCCAGACAGGGAAGGGAGGGTGACCGTGGAGGCTTTGAGGTGCAGTGGTCCTCCAGAGCAGCTGGACATCTGGGTCTCATCAGAGAAGAGATGGGGCTGGAAGGAAAGGGAGGGGGTGGGTGAGTGAGTGAAGCTCAGAACCAAAAAAAGGAGACAGATGGGGGGGAAGAACAAGGGAGAGTGGGGGACAACGTAATCAAAGGAGTGGAAGATAAAGCAAATTGGGCAGGCAGGTCTGAGACCCTAAAATGGAGGTAGAATTCAAGGAGAATAAAAGGAAAGGCAAAGGAATGCCATCCCAAAAGGCTATTATCCCACTGAAACAAGAGTGACTGGAGTTTGGCAGAAGTTGAGAGATAAAAGTGCTTATGTTGGATCATTGGTCATTGGTTCTGTTTAGTTTAATGCTGTCTGAGGCTTTGCCTGCTGCCTGAAAAATTAGTCATAGACAAGCAAAGTCCTTTCACTTTAAACTTTGACAGCAACCAGATTTGTACTGTGGTGCTGCTGGTTCACTGAAACGGACGACTTCCCTGTTTTCCATATTAATGACACTTACGGTAAACTGGTGAAAATAATCTTGATGAAAACAGAAAATAGAGAAATATCATTAGTTAAATTACAAAAATAGATTTAACCTGGACAGAATAATGCAGTTAAATTGCTCTCCAAAAATAAGAAAACGCACATCTAAAATCTATCTCAGAAACTCTGTTAAAAATATCAGCTTTTCCAAAAGACAAAAGCTGAACATGCTGGGAACAAGTGCCATTTGTTTCCTGTATTGGGGTCAGAGGTCAGAGGTGGTGGCAAGCTTTCGAACTGAAGACTTTCTCATTAACAATGCAAACAGGGGACAAGAGTGACTATGTGGGTTAGGCTGTCAGACTGTCAGCAGGGTTGACATGTGGGTGGTGGAATTGTTGCACTGGTTGTGCCAGAAGCAGACTGAGGGACCACCACAGCTTGGTAATTGCCTTCTGACCTCTGGCAAATCAGCCCAAATGGCTGAGACTCCCAGACAGGGCCTTAGTCCTGCTTATGTGTATGTCGGTGTCGATCACAGGGATAATAGCTGTTTCTCCTCCGGGTGTGGGAACTAGCCAACCCTATTGATTTCACTGCACGCTCTGCTATGAAGCAAATACCTCAACTGGACTCCTTGCTTGTGTTTTTCCCACCATGAGAAAGGAAAACAGCGGCATGAAAGCTGCCCGTGAACGTCAGATGATGTAGCAGCGGGAAGGAAAGGCAAGAAGACAGGAGCAAGGATAAGAAGAGGTGGAGGAGGCAAGGGTAGGAAGCTGATAGGGTTGTAGTGTCTAATGCCATCCCACCCTGAGTAATCTTTCAAGAAAGTGCATGTATCTCATCACGTTTACAGAGGCAAATGAGCATGCCTGTGTATTTTAGGGAAAGGATAGAAGAGGTTTAAGTGGGATGATTTATCAGACAGAAATTGTTTGCTGTGTGTGGTGATCTGGGAAAGGCGAGTGTCAGGTGGGCAGCACTAATGTGCAGGAATGCAGAGATTCCACTGTGGCTTTGTGGATCGGCTGTGTCACTGAGGCAGCTGCCCCCCCCCCCCCCCCCCTCCTCTCCGAACCCCCAACAGGACCATGGGAATGAACCAAACAGGCGGCATCTTGAAAGCACTCTCTCCCTCTCTCTCTCTCTCTGTCTCATGTTCACACACATAATTATTCACTCACGACATTGTATAGTGGGGTGAGTGTCTATTATAAAGACAGTGTAAGGGAGATTAAATGAAGAGGGAGGATTAGATTCAGTTATGGTATATTTATCCGCCCATTCCCTGTAATTTCACCACCAACGTCTACAAGCTTCAAGCTGGGTGCACCTGCTCTTATTGTCGCAAACTTTTATTTTAAAGGATGAAAACAGAAAAAGCTCTAAACCACAAATGTCAGGCTTTCTAAAAATATTATGGTGTATACATGCTTACAGCTGTTCACTGTTGTGTTGAACTTACCTGATTTGTTTATGTGTTTGTGAAGTATGCCCTTCCTTGTAAAAACAAGACTATTAAAATGTCTGCTCCTATTTAATCTCTGTGCTGAAAAGCTCTTGATTACTGCTGGAGTTTTGGGGCTTTGATCAAGGCAGTCATCTAAGTGATACAGCTTCCTCTTTGCTTGATGTAATTAACTAAATCAGCCTACTGAACAGGAAGTATGATTACTAAAACTGCTGTGTTTATGTGGCGTGCTGAGTTCACGGGCGTCCGTGTGTGTGTTTGCGTGTAAGTGTGGGGTAGAGGGAAACCAGAGAGAACAGGATGCAAAATTAGCCTCTTATTTAAATGGTCCCCCCACATTTGACCTCAGTTGCAGACTTCCTGAGTCTGGGGTTAGGCTGATCTGAAATAAGTACATGGTAGTGACCCAGTCACTCGCCACCTACCTACCCAAGTAAATGTTCAGTGGACTGGCATCAAAGTCTATATCAGGGCATCTGTTGCAGCTACACTTTAAGCTGTATGGTACATGACAGCAAAGATTAGGGGAAAGTTTGCAGCTCCCTCTGGACTACAGATAAATTCTTTTTCATAATTAGACCTCTTGTTTTACTATATCAGAAAGAAGGGTATCTTTCTTCTTAAACACCTCAGTCTTTTTAAATAAATGTAAATCTCACCTTGAATCCCCTAACTTTATTAAACAACCAGTAACACTGAAGAATCTATGAAGAAATATTACTTTATAATCCATTTAACTCCTGCAATCTTAAGCTAATCTATGGCTTTCTGATTCCCTAGCAGCCATTGACTGTGTGGTGGGATCATGGGGTCCCTGGTCATCATGCACATCTTCATGTGGAATTGGTAGCACGGAAAGGAGTCGCCAAGTATCTGTTCCCCCTAGAAATGGAGGTACACCCTGTCCTGATCTCAAACAACGTCGAGGATGCTTCGGAAACAACGCCATATGCAGCACCGCGAAAGGTGACAGCCTGACTTTTTCTGCATTTATGTATGTTACAGAGTTCAGTTCACTAGCACTGTTACAAATTAAACAAGCGCTTTGGTATTATCTGGGACAACTGTTAACTTTCTTTTGCTGTAAGAAACAAATCTTGAGTCTGCATGCTCCATCTGCCTGTCACTTTGCTGATGGAACAACTGAATTTCCCCACTGAGGAATAATAAAGGATATTTCTATTCTGTCTTCAGCTGTGCACTTTTCCAAGTAATTAAAAAACCTTAAGACAGGAAAACATTTTGAAAACTTACAAGGAAAGCTGAACTCACTTTACCTTAGAGCTGAGTTGCTCAGATTAAACAGTAGATGCCTTTATAAGTATGATCTTTACTGGATGCAACAGCTTATTAGACCTATTTGCCCTCTTTTTAATTCTCATCTGCCCATGCTTATACCTGACTTCCAGAAGTCGCAAAAATCTTGCCTAATTCTTTCAAGAGGAACTTCAAGGACCCTTGGAGGAGACCACACATGCTGATGAAGGAGGAGAAGGCCAGGTAAGTCCTTAATATCAAACCGCAAGATACCAGCTTTGTTTCATGTCTCTAGTGTAGGATTTGTCGGGGCAGTGGCAGGTGATTACAGATGCCCTTTTTTAAATGTTTGGTAATTTACTTGAGTTATTTTAGCCTGTGAGTCATGGTTAACGGCTTTGTCTGGCGAAATTATTACATAGAAATTACATAAAAGATTTTATTAAAATATAAAATCTTTTATGTACTTTCAGTAGCTTGAACTACATTTTAGTTGCAAGTGCTTTGGTTGTGTCTGAAATATTTTTTCAGCATTGATTATAGCTGGAACTTCTTTAAACAGTTTTTTTTGTGAATTGCAAAATAGTTGGCAGGTCAGTCAGCACTGCTGTAGAACCTTTGATTAAATATTTAATATGCATATTTGAGTTCACCGTAATTATACAAACAGTAGCCTTTCTTTTCTTGCCAGCAAACTTTCAGATGCATCTCACTCAAGAATAAAGGCACTTATTCAACATTTTCCTTGCTTCCGCTAACTCCAAGGCTGGTGGATTTCACAACAGGTTCATACCATATTTTCCCCCAGTTTTTCCTTTATTTAAAGGTCAACTCTGAGCACCAAAAGATTAGGGAATACTGGCAAAGACTGAGGTTGCTATAGCAAGCACGTCCTCAAAATTACTTTGGGTGTGTAACATGAACTCTGTCATTGAATATTTGCATCAGGAGCTGACCTTTCCTGATAAGTCAGACGTAATCAATTTAAAAAGAAAAGCCTTCGCTGTATAAATTTGATCTTTGATCTAAGCTGATTACAAATCTTCTCATTATGTTCTCTGGGAAAAAATCTGAGCTGGCTTCCTGACAGCTTACAGCTTTTCTCAGTAATTAAAATGGACATTGGATACTTTTGTTTTGACTGAAACAAAACATCAGGGGACTGGGAGTGCATTACTCATAAATGGCATTGATTCAGCATGAATTTTACAGAGTAAGAGCAATTTCACACAGACATCTGGTATATTAATAGTGGTGTCTTTGAAATTAATTGAAGAAGTGAGGGTTAACAGCGATAACAGTGAAATGATGATCAGTTGTCTTTGGATGTATATTTAAATCTGGATATTAGTGGATATTAGAGACTGGACATTAAGACAAGGTCATTATAAAATAAGGGAGGATGGACCATAACACAAGGCTGTTATGCAGATTTAGCTTGTAAAAGCTCAGCAAAAGAAAATAATATCTGTCTGCAATTTTTAAGACAGAAATTTTAGTCAAAAAAAACAAGTATTTAACAGAAGGTTTCACTGTGGAAAAGTTAAGGAAACAAAGCAGAGACATCCCACTACAGACATGCAGACATATACTTTATGTCTTACAGGCAAACAGAGTAAGGATTTCATACATATTTACAACTTTCTGAAATATTTCTGAAATAATCTGAGGAAGAAATAAAGGGAAACTTCATGTTTTCTTTGACAAGTCACCCAAATTTGGGTAATATTTTGTCACACCTGTCTGAATCAGCTGCAAAATAAATAGCGGAATTAACCCATTTATCAGAAAAACAAGGCTTTATTTGTCCCTTTTACTGTGCAGACTGAGCTGTGATTACGATGGGATAATCCAGGCGATCAAGACACAAGTGAATCACTTGTGTTACTTATCAGCAAATTTTTACTTTGTTAAGTAATTAAAGTATTAAACTTGGGTCACCAGATACAGTCACGATAAAAGTAAAGTACACCTTTTTGAATTTTAATTTTTTAAGTATCAGGGAATAAAACAGTGTCAGATAAACAGCAATGCATGAGATATTACTCCATGTCATTATTTATTTAAAAAGCACCAAGTGAAAAGACAAAGAAGAAGAAGCAAAATGTGAAAAATAAGCACACCCAACGATTTTATAGCTTGTGAAAGCATATTTAGCAGCAATATCTTGAGAGTTGGTATGAGGCGTTTGTGCTGATTTGCTGCATTTAGATGTGCAAAACATCTCAACTCTGCAAAACTAAGCCATGCTGCCATGTTCCTTTTAGAGAGAAGAGGCTTTTCCCTGTCAATCATTACAAACCATCCATATTTCTTCAGACTTTTTCTGATTGTATTGTCACGAGTTTTAACATTTAGCATTCTAACTGAGAACTTTAAAGTCTGAGATGCAGTTTCTCTGAGCATTGCACAGTCTGATCTTGGGGTGAAGGGTTAAGCTATAAGTTTATCACACAGTGCGTCTGCATGTTGGCTTTTATTTTTGTTAAATAAACAAAGACAGAGTGTAATATGTCACATTTTATTCACCTGAGGTTGTATTTAATTAATTTTAAGACCAGCTAAGGACCAGATGATTATTATGCCTTGATATGTAAAACCTCTTAATTCAAAGAAGAGATACTTTGTTTGTACCATTAGTGTAACTTTAAACAAAGCAGGATATTTTTCAGAAACTGGAAAGCTTAAAACTGGCACATGCCCCTGTTTCTTCATCTGAACATTTTCCATCTGTGTTTTCTGTTTGAAATGCTCTGGTTTCATATGTGAGCATGAATGATGTGATTGACTGGATCATTGATGTGTTTCTGAGTCTCAAATATATTATTTGCCTTTGAGCATTATATTTTTGACTTGATAATGAATGCAGGTAAACAGAGTCTTCTACTTTGACACCTTCTTTCCCTTTCTTTACCCTTGCTTGCAGTTACTGTGTGCATCTGCAAGTGAAACAGGCTAGCGCGGCATGTAGACTCAAACTGTGGACCGCTCGACTGATGAGAGAGACTGCTGTCTGTGTGGAGTGTCAAAGTGATGCCATGGCAAAGTCAGATCGCTGTGGAGGCGATGGTGTAAGGGGCACCAGGTAAACAAGCTAACTGAAAGATAACTGAAGATATGTTCATCCATTACATTCCTAACTCAAGCTTAAGTTAAAAGGAATTTGTTACATGCCTGATGGGCTCCTCTGTTCTTTAGGACCTTCTGGTCAGCAGCTTCAGTCGCGGGCTGTCACGGTTCCTGGATTCGACAGTTTTCTTCTGAGCGCTGCCAGTGTTCTGACAACTCTTTCCTCTTTGTTTGAGGCGGCACGCTACTCTCAGCATCCTGCCAAGTGCAGGACAGCCCTGCCAGCCAAGCCAGACCCTCCAATCCAGATTACTGGATGGGTAACTCAAGGATATTAGCAGCATCCTGCCACTTTTTTTCTTTCACCTCATATTCTGTACTGTATAAACTCTTAAAGCACACATAAATTCTTGCATTTAACATCTGATTTTACAGCCACGTAATTCTCCTCTAAAGCACAGCATCTATTTGCCTTTTTACCTCTGAGTCTTTGCTATCTACCTCCATCAATACAAGTGCATTTTCTAATGCATAATGTATAAATATAGAAATATATTATTTTGCTTTATACATTTTCTACTTATGATTGGTTTATGTAATGTATATGTGTCTATATAGCTTCAATAATTTGTATCCAACAGTGTAAACATCAGACATCTGTCATTTATCCCCAAACAGTCCTAAGTCATCAGTGGTTTTGGAGATACTAAAACTGATCATCAAAGTCATATCCAAACTAGGATCCTTCGCTCAGTATTTTGATGTTGTATCTTTTTTTATCCCAAAGGGCAAAGTTGAATATCAGGTACTGATTCTCAGGTGCTTAGATTTCAAGTCTCATTCATGTCTGCCTCTTCTGGTGGTCAGTCACAGATGTTTTCAGTAACATGACTCATAGCAGAGATCAATCACATCTGTTTAGACTTAATATTGCTGGAGAGGAAAAAGAGCCATATGAGCGAATTCACTGTGGTTCTGTCTGTCTTGTGTCCAAGACTTAAAAAATGCTTCATGATTACTCGCCCTGCTCACGGGGGAGTTTTATCAGAAGAGTATGATCCAAGATAAATATCGTGAACAGCCAACTCCTATATTTTTAATTAACCGAATCTCCTCCCAGCGCTCCCTACAGTTCCTTTACTTTTTTCAGTTCTGTTTTTGTTGTCTCTGTTGACTCTGTGTTTTCCCTCAAATAAAATACAGACTAACTACAGCTTTACCTTCTTGAGTTAAACGACACAGCATAAATTCCTGCATCTCTTTTGCTGTTGGGTTAAGAAGAAGGCAGGTGCAGTCATGTTATGGAAACCTGTTACTTTCTCTTTACATCCCCCATGTCTGTGTTTGTGTGTTTATTTATTATAAACCATGTGGTAATTTTATAAGTGCAGCACAGCATTTTCTGTACACTGTCCATTAGTGAAATAAAGAAAACTATACTGCCATATCTCCCTCTATTGTATTTCTATTGATGTGTGGATTTCACTGCATCATTGCATTCAGTTTGCAAATCCTTGCCACTGTTTTCCTTTACACACCTACAACATATCTGACTTCTCCCCTGTGCAGTAACTACTAGCATCAGCATGACACTGATAAGTATATTCCTGAGTTTACAAGCAGCATTTCACACCATTTCAACGCAAACATGTCCATTAACATATTTTCTGGCATTCTTGGCATTTTTGCGTGGGCTGTAAACGGGATGACGACAAACAAAATGACAACTAATGTGTATAATCATGTTTTGTTGTTACACTCTACTGAAATTTGGGGTATGTTCTTGTCATGTAAATTCTGGGAATTTTGTGTATATGTATATATACTATGTGTAATTATGTGTAGACGAAACATGACAGATGTGGCAGCTTACGTCATATGTAAAAGTATCTTCATACTGGTATTTGGTTTGGTTTTGCGGATTGCATATTCTGATAGCCAGTTTGCCTCCTCATTTAGGTGATATATAGACTAGTTAAGTGTATATGGAGAAAGGGATGTTTGAACCTTGAGACTCGCCCTATGACAGCTGGGATGGATGAACCTTGAGATTCACTCTGAAAGGCTGCAACTCTTCATGTTTACAAAGCTTGTGCTTTTTGTCACTCTTGGCAGTTTTTAATTTTTTTCCAACCATATGTCACATAAATAATACCAATTAAACCACATTATCAGAGGCTTCTTTGTTCCCCATAATTCTAACTTTATTTGTAACCATTTCCTCTGTGTGGAGTTTGCTTGGTCTCCCTTTGCTTGCATGGATTTTGTCCAGTTACTCTGACTTCCTCCTAGTCCCCAGACATGCATGTTAGGTCCTGTGATAGACCTGTTATGCTGTAGAAGCTCAGATAGGCTCCAGCCTCCACCTAAGCATGAATTAGCACTGTTACAAGGGTGAATGCTCATAACATGACCAATATTATGAGTGCCATCATATGTACAGGTAAATCTTTATGTACAAAAGCTCAGGCTGGTTTGGCTCTCAATGATGTGAAACAACCAGACTCCAACACATCGATTCCTTAAAAAAACTAGTGCATGGCTACTTCATGTCAGAAGTACTTGAACTTCACCTCCTCCATCAATCTCTCCAGCCTTCCTCCCCCTTTCTCTGCTCTCCTCCCTGATTCCTCATCCTAGCTCACTACTAAACTCCCCTTCGTCAGCACAACTCTTTATTTTCTCGTACTACAACAGCGGCAGTGCTGTCTGCCTGACCAGTGCATCCCCTGTGCTGCTCTGCCACTGCTGCTAACCTGCTTTGCAAAGGGCAGGAAGGCCCATCTCTGGCCCGGTGCCTGATGGGCTCCGACAGCAGTGTGTTCTGGGATTACAGCCACTGAAAAGGGGGGCATTCCAGCACTGGTGGCTTTTGTCACAGCATGGCCACTGTTTACTTTTGACAAGACAGCTGTTCAAAGCCCTCCTGGCCCCAGCGTAGGGCGTAAAGGGAAAGAACCCAAAGGTGACTTCCGTTTACTGGTGGCATCGCTGGACTTGGCCTGAGGCCCCTTCTTCTGCTACTGCACGACCATCTTAACTTCACATTTGACATTGCCCTGATGATAATAAAACTTTGTTTCAACATTTCATCCTGCACATGCAAAAATATTTATTCCATTTAATTGCAAAGTTTCATAGTGTTTTCCTTGCCTTGTTTCTTGATTTCTTCCCCATGTCTTGTGCTAATGATGCCACATTTACCCAGCACTTCCATTTGCTTTGTTTACTGGTTTGTATGTGTGCACTACATGTGCGCAGAGTGTCAGCTTGGGGCCCTTGGGTAGCTGGTACCTCTGTTTCTTTGTATATAGCCTGCATGTGGTTTCAGGATGCATGTACTGTAATTAGTAGTTATCCTAATAAATGCTTGGTGCCTCTGTAGGAGCAGCTGGTCTAACACAGAGGAATGATAATGAATAGACGGCTGAGCACGACACAAGTGGTACACAGCCATACAACAAACTCTCACACATCCTCAAATGACAAAATTAGGAAAACGGAAACAAATAACTATATTTGTGAATTGTATGTAAATTCCTAACAAAATCCTTTCTTTGATCTGAAAAACAAAAAAAACAAACCAAATCTCTCTCTTGCTATCAGCCCATGCAAAAGTAAGACACATACTACCCAAAAATCTAGAGAAATTAATTCCTGGGAATGTGGCGCCCCTCTGTGGTGCTTTGGGCTTCCTGCTTCACTTGTAACAAACAATGTACAGGACATCTCAGACTTGTTCTATACGCTTTATTGGCTATGCAGACTTGATTACAACAAATGATAAACATGGCAAAAATAAGACATTATAACCATAAAACCATATTTTTAATCATCTTAGTAGAATAGCGTTGTGTTTTACTTTAAAAAAGTGGTTCTTTTAGTCAGAAATGGAAGATACAACAATAAGTAGTATAAGGGCTATATTCCTTCTGTGACAGTTTTTATATTAACATGAGCTTGTTCACATTATTTGTCCAATAATGCAGCATTCAATGAATAACCATAAATACACAGGATTTATATAAGGCTAATCAAATCCTTCAAAAACAAGAATAAACTTCAAAAACAAATTTCAGAAATGTCAGAGGGAAGCTTCACATGGTGAGCGGTGCCAGTGGTGACATGGACTTGGCACAGCTTCAAAAGCTAGTCTACTGTACATACAAATTACACATAAGGCAAATGTGACTTGAGCTAGGCTAGCTGCTTGCTTGTATTTTTTTTTTTTTTTTAATATAATTGTGGCGTGGCAGGCCTAGGAATCACAGTTACACTGACATATGAATGTCACACAAAAAAATGATCCAGTTACTCTCCTTTAAGTGAATATTTAATCATTAAAATTAATTTCCTCATTTGTAACAGAATTTGTTTGTTCAGCACGAATGATGAGCAAACCAACAGCCAATTAAACACCTAAGGTGATCAATAAAAACAGAATGGAATCAATGAAAGTTCAACTACATACATTCAGATAGAGTTTGAGAGAAACTTAACAGAGAAAATAAACAACTCCAGTGCAGAAAGAGACAGACAGTGACATCCAAAACAAGCAGTGAATAGTCTTTCCTTTAAAAGAAGGAGGTGGAGAAAAAAAATGAAGGCCCAGGTGAGAGGATGATCTGCGGTCAGTTTTGGTTTCCTTGAGTTGAATCCAAGTGTTTATTACAGTTTTTTCATCTGTTGGTTTGTGTTGTGGATCTTTGTATCCATTTTGTCCACTTTATTTAGCAGAGCATCAATGGAGTCGTCCTGAGCATCAATTTCAGACTGCAGACCAAGCCCAAGATTCTTCAGTCTACCCAAGCCTACACACATCTCATCTAAGACATTCACAAAAGACATCAGTTCAATTACAGCAGACAAACTTTATATAAAAAACGTGGTATGTAACTAAATAAGTGCAGAATTTCCCTACCCAAATTTTTGTCAAGAGTGTGGTGAGCCTCCTTCAGGTATCTGTTCTTAGGGTATCCATTCTGTTGAGATGAGCCATCATCTATTGATGCAGTAGCTCCAAATCCTAAAACAATGAAGTAAGAAATAGTGAGAGCCAGTAAGTGGTGGGAAGATACCGTAATGCTGAGGTTCTTGTTCCAGCACTTACCTCCTGTATCCAGTTTTCTTAGGTTGGGGTGGCTAGCTTGGTACTTATCTTCATTTTCTCTGCTGCTGGACAAGGCAGTCTGTAATCTGAGAAAGTCAGATAAGAATTGTTCAAACATTTTGGGAGAGACGGTCAATAACAAGTTGTACGCATGAAAGTAAAAAATAAAAATGAATTACCTGAACTTCTAAAAGAAGTGAACATTACTTTAACACAAATTCAGAGTAACTGTTTTCATGCTTTGTTGTAAAATATGATAACTTGTCCCTACACATAACAGCATATCAATCTTTAATATATTGAAAGTCCTCTAAATCACAGAACTCCTTGATTTGTTTAGGAGTTCAAACATAGAGAAATGAAACTGGATGATGCTACCACACCTCACTGACACAGAGAATAAAAACAAACTTACCCTTCACTGGCCTTGTAGGCCTTTGGCTGCTCAGGTGGTGGCTTTGTCTCTGGCGTTCCCTTAAAATAATTGACAAGGCCGCCCCACACACTCTTAATACTGTTAATGTGCCTTTGACTGGTCTTCAGGTCTTGATCCATGTTATCCAGCATCTTGTCTGCCCTCTTTATAGCCTCACCCTGTCGCATCAGCTCCTGCAGACAAGAAGAGACTAATTCAGGATGAGGTATGGGAAGACGGGGCCTTTAAAAATAACTCTTTGTTGACTATGACCTTTTCACAGACAGTGTCAATTCTTTGTATAGTAGTGTGAACCTTATTCATTTAAGATACCTCTGCAGTTTCCACACCCATCTTCTCCGATTCATAGATGAGGCCAAGTGAGCGGTAACTGCTATCCACAGCAGACTGCGCTGTACGCATCACTTCCTGCTGGAGGCATCTCTGCCTCCTCTCTGCTTCACTCAACCCACTGTCACTTGGCTCGTCATCAAACCCCCTACTTTTAGGCTTGAAATCCTCCTCCTCATCATCATCTGCAAACGGGTTGTGGGATTTAGGGTAGGCCATCTGTGGAGCAGAAACAAATGTTTTGGTAATTTTAGCTAAAGGACTATAAGCATCAAGTTACATGCAGTTTAAGAATGAGCTTTTCTTCACAACAAGGAGTTTTTGTTACCTGTAAATAATGGATTTTACATTGCTTAAAACTGGAACAACTTCTTGGAACACAATCAAACTATAAACAGGTTAATAAAAGATAATATATTTGGTTCCAGTCTTGATGATCTTTGGCTTTTTTCAGCTGCTCCCTTTAGGGGTTCCCTAAACAGATTATCTGCCACAATCTGACCCTCTCCCTGGCATCCTCTTCTGCCACACCAACCCTCTGCATGTCCTCCTTCGCTGTATCT